TCCTCCTGCTCATGTGCTAAGAGTTGACCTATGCTCCACAGTCAGTATCGCAATTGCCTAATCTGTAGCATATGCTATGACTACCACAAAAAAGCAGCCCAGACAGCAATTGTCATGCAAGAACGCACTTTATTCTAATACACGTTAATGAAAACTGTTCGCTTGGCTCGCTCACAACCACTTTCCTATTTCCACTACCATGCTCCAGCTCAGTTCGATTTTCTCCGCTTAGTCAACATATGGTGAACGCACTGAACTGTTTCCGTATCCGTTTTTAGTGCTCGTCTGTTCAATTTAGACAGAAGGCATCTTGAGACTCAATAGGCTTTAAAGACGAACATGATGCTTTCATGATCACTTCACATGCTCACTGCTTCCAACATTGAAAGGTGGGTCATTTGCTTCAGACTTTAAATAGCAGTTGCCTCAATGAAAACCTGGAAGAAGTGCTCGTGAGATACGGCTGCTGTGCAGCAGTCTATTGAAAATACCGCTTTGAAATGACGATGCGGATTTCTCTCGAGTAGCGTTAATGAGCGTTTCGGCAGAATTTAAGATGCAATTAAGATGTTCAGCTCGTGGGTCATTCAATAACCTAACTGGCTAACATGCTTCTAATGGCTATCAAGTCAGTGGTTAAAGAGTCACTCGCTATCTGCACCTACAGGTCAATTGTTCGCTTCAATTTTTGCCTAGATGCAACTTAAATGGGTACTTGTCATATCTTTACTAAACAAGTGCAAAGGAAGTTGAAGGGCCGAATATTCGATGAAATTATACTACACAACTTTGAATCGGTTTCTGACTTCAAGAAATAAAGTGAATGAGGTAAATACTGAGTGTTGCCCTTTAGTAACACTGAGTTCCACGACCGCTTTCTACTTGTCTGTAGTCATCAGGTACAGGTGGCAGACGGCAATGGAATTCGGGACCTTTGGGATGTTAGCCGAAATCTCTAACCCTCGGATAACGCTTGGCACAGCGGTTAGAGAATAAACGGGGTCATAATTTCAGAGAGATTTGTGGACAATCAGCACAGCTGAAGGTATGGCGTTGGATGCCTCGAAAGAAGATCGTAGCATCGTAGTTACAATGGTTGCTAAATGAAAAACAATGGGGGTGATGACTAAGTCGAATAATTTGGAAAATATGAGACAGCATGTTGAGACGGGACTGTAGAAGTCCATTTAGAATAAAACCTTAAGGACGGTGATGAATAAGAATAAAACGGGACGTGGCAACTATTTGAGAGTCATAAAGGACGCTTTTGGGGTAGGTAAATGGCATGATCTCTATGCGAACTCGACTCTACCTCCTAGTCTTTATGCGCTACCCAAGATATATAAACCTGACGTTCCCACGCGACCTATAGTCGACGGTATAGGCTCTCCGACTCACGAACTCGCGAAATATTTGGCGGGAATATTGAAGCTCCTGACAGGACGAAGGAGCACGTTCGTGAATAACTACTAAGTGTTTGCCCGAAAAGTAGCAGGGCTCACCATTGAGCCGGATGAACTAATGGTAGGCTTTGAGGTCACCACACCTTTTACTAATGTACCCAAACAAGAAGCGTTAGAGTCAACAAGACGCTGCCCAAACGAGAACAGGACACTGGATGAGCGAATAAAGCTTACAGTTGCTACAATTGTGCAGGGTATGGCATTGTGCCTAAGCATGTCCTATTTCGTTTTCTAGTCGAAGGTGTACACCCAAGAACAAGCTCTGACAATGGGGTCGTTATTATCCCCTGTATTGGCGAACTTGTATATGGAGGAATTCAAAAAGAATTCCGTAGTAAACTCTGGTAGTTCAGTGAAAGTTTGTTGGTGCTACCTAGACCACACTTTCTTGATAATAAAAAGGGAGCAGAAGGAGGGCTGGCTGAACCATCTAAACTCTATTGCCGGGAGAAACAATTTCACTGTGGACTCGGAGTCGTGCAGTGATACAATACCATACCTTGACGACCTAGTCCATAGAAATGGAGGAAATTTGAAAGCAACAATCTACCGTAAGCCAACAGATACCGATGGGACACCCCATCATACTTTAGGTCATACAAAGCACCTTTACGCTGGGATAATCTCACCGCTGTTCCACAGGGCACAGACCTTGTGCACAACGGAAGAAGATAGAAGGGCTGCATGGAAAGAGGCGATGAACAGACTACTAGACAGTGGTTATCCGCGACGTCTAGTGAAACGCCAGCTACAAAAGGTAATAAACCCACAGGCAAGGTCCACAAGAAATGGGTAGGAACGGTGGGAATTGCTTACAAAGGAGGAACCTCAGAAACAATTCGGAGGGTATTAAACAAGGATGATATAAAGGTGATCTTACAGCGTGTCTAAACATTGCGTCCAACGTTGGGGCGCCTGAAGCACCCCATTCCCACAGCTAGGAGGATTAACTGTAAGGACAAATTCAAGTGCAAAGCCTGTGCTCACATATATTTGTCAAAACATCGAGAAAGCTAAGGACACGGATCTTAGAACATAAAAGGCGCATTTTGCGACCGCCGAGGAACGAGCTTGATTACAGAACTATGTTAAGAGACACTGCCGTAGCTGTACATGGGCTGGATACCGAGCATCAGATCGATTTGTATAATATCGAGATCATTAAGAAGGGTTTACAAGCGAAACCCAGAGGTTAATTGACAAGGCAATCGAAATCGCTAAAGCTGATAGCTGTCTGAATAGAATAGTGGGGGTAGAACTCTCGACTGCTTGGAGAGCAATCTTAACCCGGCCAGTCTGACGAGCGTCGATACGCGAGTCTGGTTGGATAGCGCAAGGTGACATCATCATCGTCATTGTCAACAACACGTTAATTGACCAAATGATGGACAGTGAAACCTCATTCGGACTGAGCGCTAGGGTTGACCTTTCCACCTATCTGTAAGATTCTCTTACCTCATATCTCACTTGTCACGATTGTCTCCCTCGACCGCAATATAATGCCACACCAACTATGTATAAATTCACCTGGTCTGAGGAAGTTTTTGTGTCAAAAGCGAAACGTTGCTAATCAAATAAACTAACCGATTATCCACAAAACTCTGTGAGATCATGACTCCTCGATCGGTTCTAAGTATATTCCAAGAGTACGGATAAACGGGGTCATTTTTAAACACTTGTGTGAATGAATTGCGATGTGCATTCTCAAGATGGAATGTGCTTTACTGTGGAGAAGATAACTTGGGTCCGTCCAGTCAGTGGGCGAGCAAGTGAACAGCGGGCCTTGCCAACTAGCAGCCTTTACCTGCACGTTGGTTTCTTACCTGCTTGTAATTATCGGCAAACAGCTGCTCACAGTTCTGAGAGATATACTAGTTATTTATTAATAACAGGACTACAGGACTCAAATCCAGTAATCCTAAACCACCGAATCCTGGAGAGTAACACCCAATGTTTCACTGCCTCAGGTGCGGTCCCAGTGACTGAACTGGCCCAGCTCCCTTCAAAGCGAATGGAGATCCGTACTGAGGCCGGAGTTCGCAATCCATTCACAAACGGTTGTTGCAAAAATTGGAGGCATTCGGAATCAGGTACCAGTTACTAAGTTGGTTATCGTCATACCTGAGTGGTCTTCATCAGGTGGTCTCTTTATGTGACCATCCCTCTTCTCCATTTCCCATCACTAGTGGGGTCATACAAGGAAGCGTGCTCGGTCCTTCACTGTTCTTGCTCTATATCAATGATATCATCACATCCGTAAAACATAGACGGCCATTCCTATTCGTCGATAATGTCAGGGTTGTCCATAACCTCCGGCGTGATGAAATTCATGGAACGCTACTGCTCATTCAAGATGACTTATCCTCCCTTGACGCATGACACCACATGTGCACGAAGAACCTTTCGACTATGAAATCAACTAATATGTCATACGGCTGTTCCATCCCCGAACACCCACTAAACAATGAACGCGCCCCTACACAGCTGTTCAAGCGTGATCTCGGAATTAGGTACTCATCTACCTTCGATTTCTCCGAACAGACTAAATGTCAATTAACACGTGCCAGACAATCTGTGTTTAATACATTCAAATCTGTCTGAGGTACGCACTCAAGGGACCGACAAAACGTAGTCTCCATAGACAGGTGGTCCTCATAGCAGGTTGGACTGTAGATCCAACAAAATCAACATAATCCATGCTAGAGTTGCGCTTTTTAACCTACTCACTCGCCCTATCCTCTAGTACTGCAGCGCAAGTTTTGTTAATATGAGAAAGCGTGACAGAATTGCCATGTAACACCAGCAGAGATCCTTTACTAAGCACACTACCATGAAGTATCGAGAGCGTTGTAAAGAACTTCAACTTGAAAAACTTTGGATTCGGCAAGTGAAGGTTGCTTTTCTACCTTCTAAACAAAACGACCCATTCCGATCTGCTTACACTAGAACTACCACATAGCTCAACTCGAGAGTTTCACAAGGAAGATAATACACTGCATGAACGAAGGGCTAGAACAAGCATACGCTCAATTTTCTTCTAGGTCAGATACAGTTATCTGTGGAAGAAACTGCCAATCACACCCAGGTTATATGATAATGTGACAAAATGTAGAATCAAACGGTTCATTTACCTTAATTTAAATATCAGAATAACCACATTCACATGGGAGAAATCCCTCGATGAACTACTCCGAGATGGACCCAAGGATCGAGTTGGTTGGCTTTCACGTCAACCATCCACCAAAAGGCTATTACATGAATCGCATACCCTAAAATCCCACCTTTGCATGTTGTTCACGCAAGATCATGATTAGCTTTGTACGGATCGATCTGCGCCGCTAGACTCAGGTTCTTGGATCAGGAGAAATATACATATTGCTATTTTAACAGTGCTAAAAGCTGACCCCCTCTAACCAACAATGATAGTCTGTACTGTGAAACTTTGATTCGCATCTGTGATGCTTCAAATGTTACCAATGACAGCCGACACCAATTGCAGGCTTGTCGGGAAGTCACATGGAATAACAGAATACTTACCACAAACTTCCACCAAATGGCGCGGCAGTATTCCTGCCTGGTTGTGTCGATTGATGCATGCCACCTGTAGGGTCAATTCGGAGATGGCATTCATAAGTTCTACGACACTTCAGGTAATGAAAATTACCATCGGGTAAAATCCTTAGCCCAATTACTGCCAAATAAAAAGGGTCAATTTAGGATTAACGACGAATTAGTTGTTACTGTAAGCTTACATTCCTTCCGCCACCATAGATTCTAACATCACAAATCTCCACCAATAGGTGTTCCTTAGGTAACCACGACGGTGAACAATGGAACAATGGTATTTTAAGGGTAATAAATCAGACCCTTAACAAGTCGCGTTGGAAGGCTAGAATGAGAACCACAAGCTAATGAAAAGAAACGTGGTAAGAGGAAAATCTTTTTGATGGACTCACCACAGTGCTCACTCCGAGGTGATCAGAAATGAGCCAACCTCGATGTGCAGATTAGTGCAGGTGGTGCAACGATCGTCACATTATGTCGTCAGTCGATGTTCACTGGCTATAGATTGTAATGTAGGTGCATAAGAGCAGCATCATAACTTATTTAAGCATGGATAATGCGGGGGCGGGAACAACGTAAGTTGGGTAGACATTCCATGGCTGGTAGACAGGATGAGCGTAATAGGTTCGTCGACATTCTTGCCTATTATAATATGTGGCCAAATTGAGCTTGCGGCCCCCCAAATTTGTGTTGTGACTAACTTGCCGTAGTTGGTGACATAGGTGCTTGGGGTTCCTCAACATATGCTAGGTCCTTATTAGTTCGCCACGTAGGCGCCGACATAGATCGTTGTATAATCTTAGTGTCCTCAGCCTAATTTTATATGGAAAATGGAACAACCATATGACATGTTTAGTGGTTCTTCGCGGTAGAGTCTTCAATGCTGCAAGCTCTTGCTTGTGTCTGGGATGCATGCCTGGATTGAGTATACATGAGGCCGCACATATGTGTTAAGCAGCTGCGATCTCCAAGGTCATCCCCACACACGCGTGACGTGCGTGCTCCTGGATCATTTGGATTATTCCCCTCCATCCTCTCTCCATCTTCTCGCAGCGTTGTCACTGTACGCTCATTCGAACCGGATTTACCAGCCCTACACAGTGATCCATGATACGTGGAAATATCTTCTACGATTAGAAGGCTGCGCCATCACTAAGCATTTTCATTGGCATCTGTGATTAAGCGCAAGCGTTTAACTGAATCACATTGAGCCGATTGCCTTTCTGTGTGACACCATTCGATACAGAATTCTTGAGGCAGACCGAAAAGCTTAAGTTTATTCCGATCCAGTGTTTCTCAACACAGCTGTGAAAGAATTTGTGACCTGTCAATCTGTGTTCAGCGCTCTGTTCAGGTTCCATTCACTCGCCATTCCTTTTGAACTTGTCAGTCAGTGTGCCTGCATAACCCATCACACGGACGGCGCGACCACCCCGACCGCTCACTTGACTTTGCAACCACCACGCTCGCCTGACCGATGTGCGCCGCTCTCAAAGCTGTAAAAGTACAGAACGCCAACCAACCCACTGGGTCAGGCAACGACACCTAATTGAATGGCAGAAAGGTGAAACCGAAGAGGTGCCAAGCGAAAGGTATTTGCGGGTTAGGAGAATGTCATCAAGTAGTAAAAATCGGTCTGACTTGCTCGCACTGTTTGGAATGATACTATACGAAATGTGCAAATGTGTCCCAACAACAGTTACGGGAGCGAAATAGCTCCCAAGATGCATTTTGGTTCTGTACTGCGTGTTCCACCATCCCCCTCGTTAAGTGCTTGTTTATCCTATCTCAGAAAGGTGACCGATTAACCGCAGAAGCAGAGTAGAGGATAAAGGATAAGATTACTTCAATGGAAGCGAGTATGGACCACAGAAGCATAGCAGATACTAAGCAACGGAATGCTGAACAATCCGCTTCCCCTAAACCGCAATCAGCCAAGTCTCCATCTCCGTTGTCATCTCCAACTTTGCTAGAACGCCGGGCGAAAACAGACTGTACCTACGTGAATCAATCAGTACACAGGGCAACGAAAAACAGGCACCATTCAAAACGTCTGGTTAAGCAAATACCACTAGACCTGACATCTAGCATTAACAAGGATGAAGCAGTCGAACACCAACCCTCGGTACCTGTAGCTCAAATATCTCTTGTCGAGACTAAGCCTCCCAGGACATCAGTTACTTATGCAGAGATTGCTGCAAAGGTCCACCGAGAGGCCGCCATTGCGGCCTCTTCCCTTGTAACCACCGTTAACGCGAATAGAGGGACAAACAGTAAACAATCAACACTTGTCAGCAGGTCAGGACAAACGAGTGCCATACCTTGTAGATCGATTAAAAAGGGATCCAACAACAATGCCCGGACTGTTGTATGCTCAAATGTCCCTGAATCTACCGCCATCACATTGCGGGATAAGTTATCAGAAGACCAACACCAATGGAACTCATTGTGTATGCAGATGAGTATTAAAGCCAAGCCCATAAACTTACTACGAATTACTCGTCATCCGAACTCGCCACACTACGGAGAACCCAGACTTATTCGAGTAACACTAGAATCCTCCACCGACGTAGAAAATCTTTTGCTCTCCACAAGCACGCTAAAACACGGATCCTGTGGGATACGTATCTATCCTGATGTCCCTTAGAGCGCGCGACAATCAAAAAGAAACACCAAAGAGGGGCACAGCAAGCAAGACAGCCTAAACCCAATCTTCATACATGGCGTGCCAGAACATCCTTCTAACGATGTTCAAGAGACCGAAAAGTATGATTTAGAACAGTGGCGGTTCATTCGTGAAACGCATTCTTTGGATAATATTGTGGCATTATCGCTCACCAGGATACCTCACCAAATTACAGAGGATGCGGCCCTAAAATCCTAAAACTTGTGGTTCAGTCGGAGCAACAAACAAATGATGTTTTAGATCGATGGCGAAGAAATCGGAAACAACTTCCTTCTGAAATTCGGTTAAAGGTTGCAAACGCTTTGCACAGCTCAAATATTAAAGCAACTGAAGCAGCAAGCATACCGATGAATGTACAGAAGTGTAACTTGACTGCTGCTTTAATTGACTCTGACGTAGGTCTAGACAGAGGTTGGGACGCACTTTGGCCGAATCAAGTTGCAAACGAGGTATCATTAACCCATCAAAAAAACGAGTAACTGCCGACCTCCCATCGGTCGGCATTCTCCCACACTTAACTTCTTCACATCTCTGTGGGCTCCTAGAGACCGAGAAAATGACCAACTTGTATACGAATGCTCAGGGTCTTTCTAACAAACTGGCCGAACCGAAAGATTGCCAAGCTTCCGGGTCATATGATGTCATTGGTATCACCGAGACGTGGTTGCACACGGGAATGACGGACGCTGAAGTTTCGCTACCCGGCATATCGCTGATGCTGAACGACAGGCTCACAAAAGGAGGAGGGGTAATACTGTATTACCGAAACGACTTACAGTGTGAAACCTTGGAGGATTCAGACTCGCAGTTCCCCGACTCTCTTTGGTGCCGGTTGCAGTTAAAAGGCAGGGACGCTTACCATATTGTCTTTGTGTACCGCGCCCCTAACTCAACACCCGAAACCGACTACCACCTAGCGGCTGCTTTAAGATGCAATTTACAACAAAAGTACACGCATATTCTTATCATTGGTGATTCCTACGTACATTGTTTAGAAACTCCCGCCACGATCGGAGAACAATTCAAAACCGATTTACAAGATCTAGTAACTACTGTTCCTCTCTACCATCACATCACTTTGCCCACTCGGTTCAGAACTGGTAACAATCCATCTGTGCTGGATCTTGTGCTTATCAACGAAGAGCATATGACTGATGAGTTGCGTTTAGACTGCCCGTTGGGTCGCAGTGATCACGCAGTCATCAGTTTCAACTTCGTCTGATATGCAGAATATCTGAATGAAAACGAGGAAACTGTGCGAACCATCACAAGCTACGAGCGATTAGCCCAGCTCCTCAGCGCCACAACTTAGTCGTTCCTCGAAGAAGAACCCCCGGAAGTCGCCTGGCTCGAGTTCGTCAAAAAATTCAGTCAGCTGATTGCACAGGCTTCAGAGATAAAAGTTTGCTATAAGTATAAATCCGTTTCTTTCGTTAGGAGCAGAACTCGAAAATGGATGACAGTACGCAACGCAGCACGGCGAGTGTACAGAGAAGCTCCAGCACCAGAAACTTGGGACAATTACGTAGCCCAACGTAAACACCGCAATCAACTGTTAAGAGAAGACAAAGCCGCCTATCAGCAGAACATCGCAAAACCTTCATTGCTAACCACGAACTGCTGTACAAGCACGTTAATAGCCTACGAAAGGTGAGGCAAGGAATTCCTCCACTCAAGACAGCTGATGGCCCAACAAGAACGGCTGTAGAGGCAGCAAACGCGCTGCAGATGCAATACGCCCCCACGTTTCAATGAGTCTGGCCACCAAGCGATCTACCAACCTTTGTATTCTGCTCACCAGGACTAACCCACATCAATTTTACCGCAGAGGCTGTATTGCAAAAGCTGACGTTTCTACGCAAACACAGCTCGCCGGGTGTCGACGCCATTCGTCCTGAGGCATTGGGAGCAGCAGCAAACCAACTGGCAGGACATTTAGCTCAGTTTTTCAGCACTGCTTAGACCAGAACCAAGTTCCCGCCATGTGGAAGCTTGGAATAATAACCCCGATTCACAAAGGTGGAAGCAGAACTGATCCCTCCAACTACCGCCCAGTAACCCTTCTTCCTATACTCTCCAAGGTCATGGAATCCATAGTTGCCGATGCACTGGTGTGCTATCTGGAAAACTGCAACCCAATCACTCCTGAACAGCACGGTTTCCGTCGACAGCGGTCATGTACATATATATACATATATATATATATATATATATATATATATATACATATATACATATATATATATTTGCAACAGTCTATGAATAGACATTGCACCATCGGAAACCATGGAACTCAAAACAAGGTACAGAAATAGTAAAAGAAAACACAACACAACACATCAAAGTCCACG